AAAAAGAGTAAAACTTTTAGGAATTAACCAAGGGGGTAAAGACTTGTACAAAGAAAACTGTAAAACACTGCTGAAAGAAATCAAAGATGACATAAACAAATGGAAACACACTTCAGTTCATGGATTGGAAGACTTCATACTGTTAAGACATCAGGACTACCCAAAGTGATCTACAGAGCCAGTGCAATCCCTAATCCCAATAATGTTTTCTTGCAGAAATAGAAAAGTCTGTCCTAAAATTCATCTGGAATCTCAGGGGACCCCAAAACAATCTTGAAAAGGAAGAACAAAGCTGGAGGGCTCACACTTCCTGATTTCAAAACTTCCTACAAAGCTACAGTGATCAAAACAGTGTGGCACTGGCTCAAAGAGAGACACAGAGACCAATGGACTAGAACAGAGACTCCACAAGCGAACCCTCCCATATACGGTGAAACGATTTTCAACAAGGGTGCCAATGCCATCCAATGGGGAGTCTTTTCACCAATGGCGCTAAGAAAACTGGACCTCCACATGTAAAGGAATGAAGTTAGACGCTTACCTTACACCACATACAAAATTTAACTCAAGATAGATCCATGACCTAAACATAAAACCTAAAATTATAAAATCCTTAGATGAAAAAGAAGGGGAAAAGCTTCACAACGTTGGATTCGGCAGTGATTTCTTGGATGTGACACCAAATACACAGGCAACAAAAGAAAAAAAAAAACATTAAGCAGGATTTCAGGAAAATTTTAAAACTTTGTCCATCAAAAGACACTAAAAACAAAGTAAAAAGACAACCTACAGAATAGAAGATATTTGCTAATCACATATCTGATAAGGGATTAACATCCAGGACAGAGAACTACTAAGACTCACCAACAAAAAAACCAAACAATCCATTCAAAAACGGACACAGGACGTGAACAGACATTTCACCAAAGAAGATACAGAAATGGCCAACAAGGCCAGGCATGGCAGCTCACACCTATAGTCCCAGCACTTTGGGAGGCCGAGGTGGGTGGATCACTTGAGGTCAGGAGTTCGAGACTAACCTGGCCAACATGGGGAAACCCCATCTCCACTAAAAATATAAAAATTAGCTGGACACGGTGGCGGGTGCCTGTAATCCCAGCTACTCGTGAAATTGAAACAGGAGAATCGCTTGAACCTGGGAGGCGGAGGTTGCAGTGAGCTGAGATCGTGCCACTGCATTCCAGCCTGGGCAACAGAGCAAGACTCCATCTCAAAAAAAAAAAACAGAAATAGCCAACAGGCACATGAAAAAATGCTCAACATCACTTATCGCCAGGGAAATGAGAACCAAAACCACAATGACATGCCACCTCACGCCCATTAGTACAGCTACTGTCAAAAAAACAGAAAAAGGCAAGAGCTGGAGAAGATGGGAGACAGCGGCACTCGTGCACTATTGCAGGGGGTGGAAAATGCTGCAGCCACCGTGGGAAATGGCACAGCAGCTCTTTAAACAGAATTATCGGCCAGGTGCGGTGGCTCACACCTGTAATCCCAACACTTTGGGAGACCGACGTCGGCAGACTGCTTGAGCCCAGGAGTTCAAGACCAGGCCGTGCAACATGGTGAAACTCTGTCTCTACAAAAAATACAAAAATTAGCCAGGCGTGGAGGCACCTGCCTTTAGTCCCAGTTACTTGGGAGGCTGAGACAGGAGAATCGCTTGAGCCCAGGAGGTGGAGGCTGCAGTGAGCCGAGATTGTGCCACTGCACTGCAGCCTGGGCGACAGAGCGAGACGCTGTCTCAAAAATAAATAAATAAAACCAGAATGATCAATGATCCAGCAATTCCACTTCCAGATCTACACCCAGAACCGAAGGCAGGGTCTCCAGAGGTCACTGTGCACCCGTGCTCACAGCAGCATCATTCACGACAGCTAAACTGTGGAAGTCACCCATGTGTCCACCGACAGAAACGGGTAAACAAAATACATCCAGGCAACAGCTTGTGGTTCAGTCTTAAGAAAGAAGGAGACGGGCCGGGCGCGGTGGCTCAAGCCTGTAATCCCAGCACTTTGGGAGGCCGAGACGGGCGGATCACGAGGTCAGGAGATCGAGACCATCCTGGCTAACACGGTGAAACCCCGTCTCTACTAAAAAATACAAAAAACTAGCCGGGCGAGGTGGCGGCGCCTGTAGTCCCAGCTACTCGGGAGGCTGAGGCAGGAGAATGGCGGGAACCTGGGAGGCGGAGCTTGCAGTGAGCTGAGATCCGGCCACTGCACTCCAGCCTGGACGACAGAGCGAGACTCCGTCTCAAAAAAAAAAAAAAAAAAAAAGAAAGAAGGAGACTGTGACACAGGCTGCTCATGGCTGCACCTTGAGGACACGGCACTGAGTGAAATAAGCTGTCACAAAAGGACAGATCCTGTGCGACTCCTCTCACAGGAGGTCCCTAGAGTCACCAAACTCACAGAAACAGAAAGCGGTGGGTGGGTGTCGGGGGCTGGGGGAGGCAGAATGGGGAGTGAGTGTTTCATGGGGACAGAGGCTGAGTCTGTGAAGATGAAGAGAGTTCTGGAGATGGGCAGTGATGATGGCCGGACAGCAATGTGAGTATCAAATACCAATGAATTGTACCTTTCAAAAATGGCTAAGATGGGGCCAGGCTCAGTGGCTCACACTTGTAATCCCAGCACTTTGGGAGGCCAAGATGGGTAGGTCACTTGAGTCCAGGAGTTTGAGACCAGCCTGGGCAACATGGTAAAACCCTATCTCTACAAAAAACAAAACAAAAACAAAAACAAAAAAACCTCAGCCAAGCGTGGTAACGCACACCTGTAATCCCAGCTACTCAGGAGGCTGAGGCGCGAGGACTACTTGAGCCTGGGAGGCAGAGGTTGTAGCCAAGATTGCACCACGCACTCCAGCCTGGGTGACAGAGCAAGACTCCGTCCCCTCACCACCGCCCCCCCCCAAAAAAAAAGGTAAGATGGCAAAAATAGATGTTATGTGCATTTTACCAGAATAGAAAAAAGATCTGCAGTGCTAAGAATGCCCTAGCATGGAAGAACCTTGGGAAGGTCAGGCGGGTGAGAGCCACCAGAGGCAAAAGGACGAATGTGCGGGATTCCACAGACACTGAACGTCCAGAATCCACAGAGACAGAGGCCGAGTGGAGGTGGCCAGGGCCGGGGCTGGGGCGGAACAGGGAGTGACCGCTGACGGGCACGGGCTTTCCTCTTGGAATATATTTTGGGTTTGGAACTACATAGAGGTGATAGTTGCAAGTATAGAGTTTTTTTAGAAATCCATAAAACCAATTAACTTCATCTAGACACACATAGAAAGTGCCAGAAGAAGGCCGGGCGTGGTGGCTCACGCCTGTAATCCCAGCACTTTGGGAGGCCGAGGCGGGCGGATCACAAGGTCAGGAGATCGAGACCATGGTGAAACACCGTCTCTACTAAAAAATAGAAAAAAATTAGCCGGGCGCAGTGGCGGGCGCCTGTAGTCCCAGCTACTCGGGAGGATGAGGCAGGAGAATGGCGTGAACCCGGGAGGCGGAGCTTGCAGTGAGCCGAGATTGCGCCACTGCACTCCAGCCTGGGCGACAGAGCGAGACTCTGTCTCAAAAAAAAAAAAAAAAAAAAAAGAAAGTGCCAGAAGATCCTCTGCTGACGGTGAGACAGGCACGTCCAGGCATCTGAACCAGGCCCATGGTACAGCCGCAGTCCTGTCCTCATCCGCCTCTGGTGTGCTCCATCCACTGCCCACACCTCCCAGTCTGACCCTTCTCACTGACCCTCAGCCCGGGCAGTGCTGCCTGAGGACAAAAACACCTGTGAACATCCCCACAGGCGCTAAAACCACAGAGCCCCGGGCGGTGGCCACTGGCAACCAGAGCAGGGTGTCCTGTCTGAGATGAGCACTGAAGTCACAGTGAAAGAAACATGTACGGCATCAGGGAGAGCGCCAGCCCCCCAAGCCCTGGTGGCCTGGGACCCCGTGTGGGCAGCGTGTTCTCACACACTCCTGACACTAGCACCATAAAACCCACCCCATGTCCAGGTGGACATCAGCACGCAGGGCAGGGCAGGGCAGGGTTCCCCACCCCCGGCACCCACCTCTGACCTCCTCGGCAAAGGCTACCCCAGAGGCTCTGGCGGAATGTCCCCAACCAGGCTGAGTGGTCCCCAAAGCCGTGGAGCCACCCCTGGTAAACATCTCAAGGACCTACTCATGTGTCCCAGGAGGTTCTTCCTTGGGGCTTGGCCACGTTCTCCGCATTCCCCACAGTGACTCGGCCGCCACCCCCACAACACACTCCCCTGCAGAGCCCAGGCCCCGGGGCATCCTGTGACCCCCCAACTTCCCCTTCCTCCACTGCAGTGGATGAGCAAACGCGGGCCCCCGTCCCTACGTGAGGCCGGCAGGTTGTCCACACGGGCAGAGAGGCGCCCTGAGGTCGCAGACAGAAAGAGCAGACCCCAGGCCCCCAGGCAGGGTTGAGACAAGAGGCAGACATGGCGTAGAAATACGGCGGGCTTCCCCCGCCCCCAGGGGCTACACTGGCCACATGTGGACACCTTTGGGTGCGCACGGTCTCAGCGCACATGGGACCGATGAGCACGGTCCTGTCACCAAGTCAAACAATCATCCAGGTGGCAAATAACCATGGCCCGTGGTCCCCTCCTACAAAGCCGCAGCATGAGGCTGCAGGGCGCTGCGGAGGGACAACTATCGTCTGACCAACGGGGAGTATGTCTTACTTATGTGTTTACATAAACGTTACGTGCTTGCACCCAGCCCCACCCTGAGCTGCTCCAGGCACCCCCAGATCAGCCCCATCTCAGAAGTCTCCCCCTGACCCACAGCCCCTGCAGCCCACAAGCCGGCCCCAGTCCCACTTGAGGCAAAACTACAGCCGAGCACCCACCCCTGCTCCTGGACCTCGCTGGCCTGTGCAGACTCCGTCCGGCACCCTCGGGGCCCCCAAAGTTCTTACCCCTGAGACTCCCCATTCCCCCACCGCCTTCTCAACATGGCCTCCGAATTCCAACCTGCACCCTTGCCCGGCCACTCCCGCCCGGGGCCGTGGACGTCACACGTCATCTCCCTTCCACCTGCCTCTCACTGGGACACACAGGGTCCCCATCTCTCCAGCCCAGGTGGTACTATCTCCAGAGCCACAACCAGGGCTGAACAAAGGAACGCGCCCCCCGCCTCCTCACACTTGCCTCATGCTGCCAAAACCGCCCGGTGGTGTCTGCCTGCCACGGCCATACCCCATCTCCTCCTGCCGGCCCCCGGGCAGGTCCAGCCCCAGACCACCCGCTCCACTCCTGCCAGGGCCCGCCTCTGGATGTCTCCTCGGCCTTGCCGGCCACGGTTCAGGGACCCCTGTTGGCTGAGGGCTTGAAACCAGGATGCCACGCCACCCTCTCCCCGGGGTGATCATGGAAATCCCGTGGCTCCTGGGGCCTCCCCTGCGCTAAGTGCTGCCAAACCTCTATTCGACCCCACTTCTCCCTGGAAGCCGAGACTCTAACCCCAACTGCCCACTCGCCCTCTTGGCCTGAATCTGCCTCCACCTCCGCTTCCTGCCCAACACAGGGCACCGCCGACACCCAGCATCCAGCCTGAGGCCAACCTGGTGTGCACCCTGGCAGCAGGGGTTGGGGACACCTTGCCTGAAGGGCACTGAGCCACGTCCCCTGCACTGGACAGGCAGCGGCCTCGGTCCAGGATCTCCTGCCCACACAACAAACAAGGCATGGCACGGACGCTGGAGGCAGTGTGGGGTTTGGAGGGTGGGGGTGGAACCCCATCAAACACAGCCATGGGATGCATGGCCCCAGAGCAGCGTAGCCACCTGCTCAGGGCCCAGCAGTCTCCGGGATGTGGTAGGAAGTGAGGTCAGAAGCTTCCCTCTGAAGCCACAACCCCCAGGACTCACTTTCCTTCTTCTCCTCCTGATGGAGCCAGCGTGGAATGAAGGGAGCCCCCACTCCAGCTCAGGGGCCAGCAGGGACCAGGAGGAGAGGACAACTGGCCTGGGGGTGGTCATGAGCTGAGGCAGCCACATGGGAGCAATGTCCAGCGTCCCACCTGGCCTTTCCCTCCCATGGAGACAGCAAGGCACCCCGGACTTCTCATGCCACCAACCAGCCAAGCGAGGCCCCCGCCACGCGGTGCTGTCAGCCAGAACGTGCACAGGCAGCAGCTGAGGTCACCATGGCTGCTCGTGCCCTGACGCTCCATGAGGGTGAACCTCCGAAAACGGCGCCACTGCCTCCTCCTCGGCACAACGGATCAATAGTTCAACCCCGTAACATGCAAGACTGGCGTAGGAAACCCCAGTACTCACTGTCTTCTCCTGGACACGGCAGTCCTGGCTGCTCAGGGGTGCTCGGGAAAACTGGACGAGAGAGAGGAAGAGAGAGCGTCAAGGCCCCGCGGCTGCCACTCAACAGTCTCACGGAGGAAGTCCCGCCTCAGGCAGGCTGAGCACACGGACTTCACACAAGGCGCACGTGGCATTGCCAAGGAGAGCCTGCTCCTGGGAGACGTGAAACCCAGTGTGTCTACGTAGGCCAGGCTCCATTAGGTAGGACTTAAAAACCCACAGAAAAATTTAGGGTAAAAGCCAATCAGAGGGACCTGGACAGCAGAGCCGTCAGAGAAAGCTACTGATTTGTATTTTTAAACTATATAAAAATGGGGAAGAACTGCAATTACTTTGAAAACTGACTTGTAAAAGCACTTTAGATTCCATTTCTTCATACTCAAGACAGAGTTCAAAATTATTTTAACACACATCCTGGGCTTCCACGATAAATTATCAAAATAGATGCCTAGGAAATATTAAAACTTAGCTGGAAACGATGGCTCACGCCTGCAATCCCAGCACTTTGGGAGGCTGAGATGAGAGGATGGCTCCAGACCAGGAGTTCAAGACCAGCCTGGCCAACATGACAAAACCCCATCTTTAATTCTATATATGTGTGTGTGTGTGTGTGTGTGCGTGCGTGTGTACGTGTGTATATACATGCATATATGCATAAAAGTATTAAAACTTTAATAAAACAAACATTTTTTGTTTTTCGTTTTTTTGAGATGGAGTCTCATTCTGTGCCTAGGCTGGAGTGCAGTGGCACGATCTTGGCTCACTGCAACCCCTGCCTCCCAGGTTCCAGCAATTCTCCTGCCTCAGCCTCCCAAGTAGCTGGGATTACAGGCGTGCGCCACAACGCCTGGCTAATTTTTGTATTTTTAGTAGAGATGGGGTTTCACCATGTTGGTCAGGCTAGTCTTGAACTCCTGACCTCAAGTGATCCAACTGCCTCGGCCTCCCAAAGTGCTGGGATTACAAGTGTGCACCACAAAGCCCGGCCCTAACTATTTTTCTTTTACCTAGGAAATAACGTGAATTTTTAAAGCACCATATCTTTCAATGTAGAAAGGTAAAACGTGCTTACTATCACAATCGCAATAAAGTGGACGAGGTTAGGCACAGCTACAAGTTTATTTATCTGAGACAGGGTTTCGCTCCGTCACTCAGGCTAGAGTGCAATGGCACAATCACAGTTTACTGTAGCCTCTACCTCCTGGGCTCAAGGAATCCTCCCACCTCGGCCTCCCGAGTAGCTGGGACTACAGATGCACCATCACGTCTGGCTATTTAAAAATTGGGCCGGGCACGGTGGCTCACACCTGTAATCCCAACATTTTGGGAGGCTGAGGCGGGTGGATCACCTGAGGGCAAGAGTTAGAGACCGGCCTGACCAACACGGCGAGACCCCATCTCTACTAAAAATACAAAAATTAGGCTGGGCGCAGTGGCTCACGTCTGCAATCCCAGCACTTTGGGAGGCTGAGGCGGGTGGATGATGAGGTCAGGAGATCCGGACCCTCCTGGCTAACACAGTGAAACCCCGTCTCTACTAAAAATACAAAACATTAGCCAGGCGTGATGGCGCCTGTAGTCCCAGCTACTCGGGAGGGTGAGGCAGAAGAATCACTTGAACCCGGGAGCCGGAGGTTGCAGTGAGCTGAGATCACGCCACTGCACTCCAGCCTGGGCGACACAGCAAGACTCCATCGAAAAAAAAAAAAAATTAGCCAGGCGTGGTGGCACATGCCTTAGTCCCAGCTACTCGGGAGACTGAGGCAGGACAATCGCTTATACCCGGGAGGTGAAGGTTGCAGTGAGCAGAGATAGCGCCACTGCACTCCAGCCTGAGGACAGAGCCAGACTCTGTCTCAAAAAAACAAAACAAAAAAGTTTTGGAGAGATGGGGGTCTATGTTGCCCAGGTTGGTCTTGAACGCCTAGGCTGAAGTGATTCTCCCACCTCGACCTCCCAAAGTGCTGGGATTACAGGCGTGCGCCACTACACCCGGTCTAGTCTTTAAATTTAAAGCCACTTTGATATAAAGGGCTACAAAAATTAAACATTGTAATCAAGTAGCCCCATGTCCAGGAGAATGATAGATCTGTCAGAAAAGGGCTACAAAAATTAAACATTGGCCGGGCGCGGTGGCGCAAGCCTGTAATCCCAGCACTTTGGGAGGCCGAGACGGGCGGATCACCAGGTCAGGAGATCGAGACCATCCTGGCTAACACGGTGAAAAACCCCATCTCTACTAAAAAATACAAAAAACTAGCCGGGCGAGGTGGCGGCGCCTGTAGTCCCAGCTACTCGGGAGGCTGAGGCAGGAGAATGGCGTGAACCCGGGGGGCGGAGCTTGCAGTGAGCCGAGATCGCGCCACTGCACTCCAACCTGGGCGACAGAGGGAGACTCCGTCTCCAAAAAAAAAAAAAAAAAAAAAAATTAAACATTGTAACCAAGTAGCCCCATGTCCAGGAGAATAATGGATCTGTCAGAAAACTGTGGGCGGGGCCAGGCGCGGTGGCTCAAGCCTGTAATCCCAGCATTTTGGGAGGCCGAGACGGGCGGATCACGAGGTCAGGAGATCAAGACCATCCTGGCTAACACGGTGAAACCCCGTCTCTACTAAAAAATACAAAAAACTAGCTGGGCGAGGTGGCGGGCGCCTGTAGTCCCAGCTACTCGGGAGGCTGAGGCAGGAGAATGGCATAAACCCGGGAAGCGGAGCTTGCAGTGAGCTGAGATCTGGCCACTGCACTCCAGTCTGGGAGACAGAGCAAGACTCCGTCTCAAAAAAAAAAAAAATTTAAAAAAAAAAAAAAGAAAACTGTGGGCGGTTTCGAGCTTTGGTCCCATCTTGGACTCAGTGGTCCATGGCCAGAAGCCTGGCAAGGAGCCCAAGCTAAGCCAGAAGTGGACACAGAGACACAGACGTGGCTGGCTGGCCACAGTTGCTAGAACCACACTCGCAGGCCCCAGATGCCCTGAGACCCCAGCAGTACTGGGGAGTCTAAAGTGCTCACCTAAAGACAAAGTCACATCTCCCACGCGTCAGCTCATCACAGGGCTTTGAACTTAAAGCCGAGGACAGCTGTGAGCCAGGAGCCAGGCCCAGGGAGCACCGGGCAGGTGAGGTGGCTGGTGGGGCTGTCCCCACTGTCCACACGCACCGTGGGCTCTACGCTGGCCACTGGAGCCTCTGAGCAGTTCATGGGTTCTTTATAAGAGCAGTTTTCATTTGGGTTAATAAAATGTCAAAGAAAAGGCTGGGCGCGGTGGCTCACGCCTGTAATGCCAGCACTTTGGGAGTCTGAGGCGGGCGGATCATGAGGTCAGGAGATCGAGACCATCCTGGCTAACACTGTGAAACCCCGTCTCTACCAAAAATACAACAAATTAGCCAGGTGTGGTGGCGGGCGCCTGTGGTCCCAGCTACTCGGGAGGCTGAGGCAGGAGAATGGCGTGAACCCGGGAGGCGGAGCTTGCAGTGAGCTGAGATCCAGCCACTGCACTCCAGCCTGGGCGACAGAGCGAGACTCCGTCTCAAAAAAAAAAAAAAGTCAAAGAAAAAAACCCAAATGGCATTATATTAGGCATCCCTAAACTCTCTGGCATCACAGGATTTTAAACCACGATCCTATATGGCGTCCAACCCCCCAGGGGGTCTGGCAGGCACCCACAGCCAGGAACAGCCCCCAGGGCCGCCCCCCACAGACCCCACCACTGACCATGAATGATGAGGCCTTCGTCCCTGCGCTGACGGGCCAGGCGGAAAGCCTCTTCCAGCTCCATCTGGGAGGACACCGTGCAAGGGTCACCTGGGTGGGACAGGAGACAGTGCTGAGGTCGCTGAAGGCCCAAGGCAAAGCAGGCTGTGATGGGCCTGCTCAGCACACCAGACGAGGGTCTAGTCCCACTGCTCAGATTGGCCACCTCCCGGCAGGGTTGGAAGGTCCAAGGATGGCCGTCCACACTAGGGAGTCACCCGGCCCCCAGTGCCGCATCAGAGCCACCCAGGATGGGAAGCTGGTGCACTCACAGCCCTGGGCGCCACTTGGAGGGCTAAGCAGTGAGCAGGGCTGAGGACACTCTCCTGAGGTCAGTCCCGGGTGGAGGGAAAGTTCCTTGCCCTCTGTGGCTGGACAGGGACATGGAGGCGTACAGAACCCACGCCCTGCGGGGCTGTATCCAACCCAACGGGGGCGGCATCAGGCTGCACCCACGCGGCCGTGTCCTCAGCCAGCAGCTGCCCACCAGTCCCTGGGCGAACGGGGTCTCTCTGGACGTCTCCCAATCCCCTCCCATCCTTTTCAGGATGTGTGTCTGAGAGAGAGGAGGCGGACACGGTGAGCCCTGGCTGCACGCACCCTCCCCATGGTCCCTAGAGCAGGAAGAGCCCATCGTTCAGAAGCACCTACCGGAAAAGGCCAGGACATGAGAAAGGAGGTCAGAGGAAAAGGTGAGGACCTGCCCAGGGTGGGGCAGGGAGACCCCCTGCAGGCAGTTCAAGACCAGAGCCCTTCCTAGGGGCATCTAGGCCCAGGTCCTTGTTAAGCCTCTGCAGCCAACCTCTTTCCCACCATCCCCCCGGGGAAAAGTTGGCTCCAACAAGTTCAATTCCACGGTTTTAAGTCTCCCCACAGAAGAGGCTGATCACACCCCGCATAAGAGGCTGCCCTGGCGAAGTCCCCTGAGGCTGAGGATACCGGCCGACACGGGACAAGGGCTACCTTCGCTGTCCACCCACTTGAGGGTGAGCGGGTGCTGCTGGTGCAGACGGCACATGTCTCTTACTTCCTCGCAGAGCTCCTCGAACGTTGTGGCGGCGTCCACGCTGGTGATGAAGATGTCCCTGGGGCGGAGGGGACACGGGCATCTGTTACCGGGGGGCGTATTTGAATCAAATTAAACAATTATGACTGATTAACCAAATCATGGATTAGATAAGTGAAACTTTCCCCAAAAACAGTATGAGAGCCTCCCCCCAGCCCCTCCAACACAAAACAGAACCATTAACCATAACCATCATTTAAAAACGACCACCATCGGCCGGGCGCGGTGGCTCAAGCCTGTAATCCCAGCACTTTGGGAGGCCGAGACGGGCGGATCACAAGGTCAGGAGAAAGAGACCATCCTGGCTAACATGGTGAAACCCCGTCTCTACTAAAAAACACAAAAAACTAGCCGGGCGAGGTGGCGGGCGCCTGTAGTCCCAGCTACTCGGGAGGCTGAGGCAGGAGAATGGCGTGAACCCGGGAGGCGGAGCTTGCAGTGAGCTGAGATCCGGCCACTGCACTCCAGCCTGGGCGACAGAGCAAGACTCCGTCTCGGAAAAAAAAAAAAAAAAAAAACGACCACCGTCAACTTCCCTGCACAGAGAAGAAAGCGCGACCTACCTGGCTGGAAAGAACGAGGTCAAATTGGGAGAAAAGAAAGTGCCCTCTTGTGCGAGGCCTGGCAACGGCACCTGGTCGGACACCCGTTCAAGTTCACCCAAGTGTGGGTGACCCCGGGATGGACACAAGCTGGGTCGGTGCAGGTCCCCTGGCTTCGGTGAGGTAAAGGAACCCAGTCAGACCTGCTCCCAGACCTCGACAGTGCCAGTGGTGGAGGCCAGACCTTCAGGCGGTGAAGAGGCAGGGGATTAAATAATTCCATAACGAAAGGTCACTCTTTAGACCCCAGAGTGGGGACTGGGTCCGCTGCTGCGGCTACGACAGAAGCCTGGGCAAATTTTTCTTTTTTTGAAAACCGAGTCACACAGTGTCAGTGTCTTTTATCTTCTCAGCCCCAGACAGGACCTGGATCCCAGGGGCTGGAGAAGCTCAGGGACCCCCAGGCACCCTGTGAAGGCTGGCGCTTCTCTGCTGCTAGAAACCCGAGGTCCCCCCATCACCGCCTGCACTGAGCAAGAGCTGGTCTCACCCTGCGTGGAGGAGAGGGACCACCACAGGGCCTAGCTGGTGTTTCCTGAAACTCGGAGAAGGAATCACACCCTTGTGGAACACACCGAAATTTCAGAGAAATCTACGGCTTTCTGACACCCACAAGAGCGCGGGGCAAGAACACAGGGCCTATAAAAAGAAGCCTGAAGGGGTGTGAGACGTCCCAAACCACAGAGATACAGGCTCTGCTCTTTGCAGACACTGCTGGCTCCCCACAAGGTTATCTGAATTCGTCAGACAAGTTTCGAGAAACAAAGTTCTCGTCCCAGACAAGAACTCCAGAGCAACAGAACACAGGATCTATCCACAGCTGCAGCCCCAGCATAGCAGCCCAGGGCCCACCTGCCCCACAGGCCTCACCCAGCCCACCCTGGGCCGCAGTCACCCACCCCTTCCTGCTGGAACTGGCCCCCCAGCACCTGCCCCCAGTACCCGAGCACCCCACAGGAACCAACCTGGCTGGTCTTCGCCACAGCCCGCAGCATCACGGCAGATTAGGAAAGTGAGGAATGGAGGGGTCACACACCCAATACCCTGGGTTCGCCCCAAGCTGACATCCATGCCTGCTGCCTGACCTGGCGTCCAACAGTCCGACCACCAGGAACTCCAGAGTGGGAGTCAGCCATCCCTTCACCTTTGACCCCTTCCTGCCCCATGCCCCCGCCCCCACACAGTCCTGTCCCCAGGTGGAAGCCAGTTTCCTGCCAATCTGGAGGCCAGGTGGGTGGCTCCAGTCAAACCCCAGGACTTGGGAAGTGTCGGGCCACCACTTCCAACCCTATCCCAATCCTGAATCAAACAGCTGCTCTGTGCCCCTCGGCAGGGGTGTCCAGGACCCAGCACCCAGCAGCCAGCTGGGCAGCCAGGGAGAGACTCCTGTGTCTCTGCGGGGCCCAGCACCAAGCCCTGAGCTCTGGTCTCTGGGCTTTGCACACAGAACCTCCCTGAACACAAAAGTTGTCTGAGCTGGGCCAGGCGCGGTGGCTCACGCCTTTAATCCCAGTGCTTTGGGAGGCCGAGGCGGGCAAATCACGAGGTCAGGAGTTCAAGACCAGCCTGGCCAACAAAGTGAAACTCCATCTCTACTGAAACTACAAAAGATTAGCCGGGTGTGGTAGCAGGCGTCTATAGTCCTAGCTACTCGGGAGGCTGAGGCAGGAGAATCACTTGAACCTGGGAGGTGAAGGATGCAGTGAGCCAAGACCACACCACTGCAGCCTGGGTAACAGAGCAAGACTCTGTCTCAAAAAAAAAAAGTCTGAGCTGGAAAAGGGAAGAGCCAGCACCAGTGTTTGCAACTCTAGAAGAATGGGCATCTGAGACTCGGTCTGGGAGCCTGGCCCAGGTCACCTGGGACTCCCTGAAAACACAGGTGTCCGGGGACCCCTCAGGCCCACAGGGAGCCAGTGGGGGAGGCGAAGATTGGATCTCAAGTGTGCTCAGAGGGCCCTGGGGGGACGGGCAAGGATGATGGGGTGGCCATGCCCCATGGGGGTGACTGAAGAGCTCCTCCTTTTTCTAAAGACTAGTCTTCCACGTGTCCACACTCAGCTACCTCCACGGACAGCAGCGTCTCACCCCAGGGACGGAGTTTCTAGGGCTTCCAATAACCCAGTACTCATCCTGGCAACCACTTTCTGGAACTGCGTCATTGCCCTAAGGCCTGAGTGTCCCACCCTACAGCCAGTCCCCTCAGAGAGGCAACGGGTGCCAAGAGGGAAGAGGAGCCAGCATGGGGAGAAGGGCACTACACACTCTCCAGCAGAGAGGAGGAGGACCTGGCAGGGGACAGAGGAGAGAAGGAATGGTAGGAGCAGGGAAGACCCAGAGGGGAGACAGGCCCTGGAACAGGGAGGAAGGTGAAGGAAGAGGTGTGGCAGGGAAGGGAGAGAGGGGAGAGCGGGAAGAGGAGGGAAAACAACAGGGAAGGAGGGAGGAAGAGGAAGGGGTGGGGAGAGAGGGGAGAGAGTCCGGGAAGGGAGAGAAGAGGAAGGGGTGGGAGCCTGGTCTCTCCAGCCCAGGGAAACCAGAGTCACCGGGTGGAATTACACCCACCCCACCACCAAAGTGCTCCCAGGGGCCAAAGCAGGACAGAGGGAGGACGGGGCGGCCCAGAACTCCAGGGCACTGCCCCTGAGCCTTGGTCCCGGGAATCGGGCACTGGAATGCAGGAGGGTCTGGGCCCCTGCAGCCCTGTGGGTGTGGACCTCCCTCTTGCAGGACGCCCCTGACCTCCACACCATCACCTGTTGCCTAGTTTGTTGGCTCCAGGCTGGGAAGGAGACAGCAAGCCCAGGTCCCTGGATAAGTCCAATAGCCAGGACCTCAATCACACCAAGTTTTAACCGGCTGACTTCCAGGTCAAAAGACATGGCTGCCCTACCCCTTTGGGTGGGGTTGGACGGTCAGTTCCCCAGAAATCCCTTTCTTCTGCTTTCTGGCACCAAACCCGACCCCACTGCACCCCGAGGGTTCCAGGTGCTTGCCAGAGGGGGGCTGCAGAGACCCCAACCTTCCCAGAGACAACTGAGCCTCCTCAACAAACCCGGGGCCAAGCAGCCCCAGATGGCTGACCCGAGACCCCAAGACAAGGTTCGCAAGGAGCTGAACCCGCTCAGACTCGCAGGGCACCACAGAGACCCCTGGGGTACTGTCCTGACAGGACATGGCCCAGGGAAGATGTCACCCACGTAACCCTGCCAGCCGTCCCTGCCTCTGGGGCTCAGGTTGCCACCGCGGGGGCTGAGGGCGCACCGGGGCAGGAGCAGCTTTTCAAGATCTCAAGGACCACCCAGTGCAAGCCCGGAGCCCACAGTCCGCTCCCCTCCCTCTCCGCAGCAGCGGCCACCCTCACCGGAGCGGAGGTCCGAGTTCGGGGCTCCTGGGGACGCAGATGGGTGGAAGAACAAACCCACGGGCCCTCCCTTCCCCACCACCCACACTTCGGGGGGCAGCGACCCCTCCGCTGTGCCTGTGAGCCCGGCTACCTGGTGCAGACCCCGCCACCCCCACCAGCGCTGCCCCGGACCCCTCGGCTCCGGCCCCTGACCGCGCCCCCTCCCACAGCCAGGCAGAGGCTTCGGGGGGCGGGTGCGACGCAAGCCCCGGGGCGAGTCTCGGCCGCGCCGTCGCCTCCAGAAACCCCTGTCCCCACCCGACCACCCGGAGCCCTGCCGGGGGCTGCAGTGGAGCCACCGCGCCCGCGCCCCGGGTCTCCGGACTTTGGCTAAAGCGAGACCCCCGGCCGGGTAAACGGGGAGAACATTTAGGAAACGCTGATTTTAAGAAACCCACCAGGAGTTTTTACAACTTGATGAAAACTTTCAATCCTTACAGGTTTGCGGCCGGAATGTCCCCGCCCAACTTTCCAGCGAAAACGTCAACCACAGTGACCCGGCCGAGGAGCGCGCGGCGCGGGGCCGACCCCAGGGAAACCCGGTCCCGGGGAAGGAGCCGGCGCTGCCCACGAGGTGTCCGCGGGTGACGCTCACGGGCGGGGACCGAGGACCTCCCGCAACAGCCCCGGGCCCGCAGCGACCTCGCCGCCCTCTCCCTCCCTCCCTCCCTCCAGCGCAGGAGCCCCGACGGCTGTGCCCTCCCCGCCCTCCCCGCCTCACCCGCCGCCGCTCCCCGCCCTCCCAGCCGCTCACCCTCCGTAATGCGCCTTGAGGCGGACGCGGCCGCTGCTCCCGTCCATCTTGGGGCTGGTCCTGCTGGGCATGGCGCGCTCCGCCGGCCGCCGTCAGCGCTGCGCCCCGGGAGCTCCGGCCATGGCGCGGGGCGGTGGCGCCAGGTGGGGCCGCAGCGGAACGCGGAAGGCAGCGCTCAGGACCGACGGCTCCGGCCCGGCCCGACCAACTCCGCGGAACTCCCCGGAACTCCCACGGCGCGCGGGGCGGCAGCTGGGGGCGCGCGGGGCTGGACCGTCCGGCGGGGGCGGGGGCGGGGGGGGCGGTGTCCGAACATGGCGGACCGAGGTGGAGCCGGCGGCCAATCCGCGGGGCGGGCGGTCCCGGGGCGGGCGGTGGCACCTGCGGCCAATGAGGGCGAGGCGGGGGCCGCCACCTGGGCCAATCCTCGAGGGACCCCCGGCAGCGGCCCAATGGCGAGGCGCGGGCGGGGCTACCTGTCGGGGGGGGGGGGGGGCGCGGCGCACCTGCACCAATGGGACCGCGCGCGGCGCGGCTCTGCCCGGCAACCGGAGGGGCCCCGGCCTGGGGCACGGAGCTGCGGACTTGGGAACTCGCTGGAAACGCTAGTTCTCGGCCCTCGCCCAGACCCTCCGAATCGAAACTCCTGCGGCGCGCGCCCTGCCAGCCCGAGGACCCCGCCGTCCAGGGGTTTCCTGACATCTCACATATGCCGGACTGAAGCTGCAAGGAGCGGAGAACCCGGCCAGGGTCAGGGACGGGAGGGTCCAGACTCGGGTTCTCTGGGCCCCAGCCCCCGCTTCGCCCCCATCGAATCCAAGGTCCCCTGTAGGGAAGGGCCGTCCACACTCGTGAGTGCAACCGCTCACTCCGCCCAGGTCAAGGACGCGGCATTGCCCCGAGTCGCCCATGACCTTCATTTCTGAAGCCACAGCCTCTTGGGCCTTACTTGTGGGGGGGGAGCTGATCTGGACAATCGCCCTCCAGGCCATTCCACCGCTGCCCAGCTCCCTGCCTCCTGGGCTCCTCCCCTGAAAATGCGGACCAGTTTTCCCTATCAGCGATCCCTTGCTGTCTGTATCCACTGAAGCCCAGACCTGCTGCTCGCAAGACCTCACCCAAGCACCAGGTGGACACCCAGACCCAGCTCCTGACCTCGGCCCCTCTCCCCAGACCCAGCTCCTGACCTCGGCCCCTCTCCCCAGACCCAGCTCCTGACCTCGGCCCCTCTCCCCTGCGAGTGGACCTGCTCAGGCCACGCCCTCGCCCTCGCACCCCTCACCCAGACACAGCCACCAGGACTTCAACCGCGTGCTTTCATCCCGCAGGTGGGGTGCCTGGCGCATCCTTGATGCCAGGCCTTGGGGAGACCTGTGGCCACAGAACTCATGTTCTCCCTAGAGGTGGACAGCGTTCCCCTCTCCTATGCAGAAGCTGTCGTTCTTTCTTCTTAAACACCGTTTGCACCCTCCCTCCACCCACTGACCCATCTCTGCCTCTCTCTACAGCAAAGCTTCTGCCAAGCCGCCCCGCTCCCCCTCTACCTCTCCTGCCACCACCCACTTCCACATTTTAAATACAAGGGTCGGTTCTCAGACGTTTTCTTTTCTTTTTTTTTCTCTTTTATTTGAGACGGAGTTTTGCTCTTGTTGCCCAGGCTGAGTGCAATGGCATGATGTCGTCTCACTACAACCTCCACCTCTCGGGCTCAAGCAATTCTTCTGCCTCAGTCTCCCAAGTAGCTGGGATTACAGACGTCCACCACCACGCCCAGCTAATTTTTGTATTTTTAGTAGAGACGAGGTTTCTCCATATTGGCCAGGCTGGTCTCCAACTCCTGACCTCAGGTGATCCACCTTCCTCGGCCTCCCAAAGTGCTGGCATTATAGGCGTGAGCCACCACGCCCACCTCAGACATTTTCTTGGCCTTTAGCATCAGACTCCTGGGAAGGCTCACACATCCCCCACCCCCGGTTCCAGCTCCCCAAATCTCCCATCCTTTGCCCTCCTGGTCTGCAGCTTTTAAAAGTGTGGAGCCCTGGCCTCAGCCTTTGGCCCACTTCGCATCCCCAGCTCAGATGGTCCCCCCAAGCTCCCAAACAAGGTTCACCCAGCCCCAGGCATCCTCCTAATGAGCCTCTCAGCTGACCTCTTCCCCAACTCGGTGGTGCCCACTCCATCTTTCTGGGTCATCAAAGTCCCCCAGTGGTTCCCATCGCTCCCAGAGGGAAAACCAGCTCCTCTGCCTCGGCCTCCGGGCCTCCTGGCTGCCCCGGCCTCCACCTTTGCATGGTCACTCCCTCTTCCAGGAGCACCGTCCTACAGAGATCTGCTGGACTGGCACCCACATTCCTTGGAGTCTCTAGCATACTTAATGCCCATTTCAGCAATCTACTCCTCACCCCCATCTCCATGGGGCAACCCCCTGTGTATCCCTCACACAGGCACAAAGCCCCATGCCCATCAGCTGGGTGTGAAGGGGGGCAGAGAGTAGAGGGTGAGGGGGTGGCCTGGCAGTGATTCCCAGATTCCCAGTGATGAGTGGGAACCTGTGTCTGCAGCAGCCCCAGAGCCAGGCACCCGTCGGCCCAGCTCCCCTATGCTGGGCCCCATGGCCAGGGCTGTGGCCTCATCTGGAGTCCGGCCTGGCAACATGGCCGGGCACTTCCTGATGGGCAGGGAAGAGCAGGGTTTCGCCTTAGTGGGGTGGTGCCTGGAAGGGGCCACTGGACACCCACAGGACTTCCTGGTTGGTGTTCTGATCCAAGGAGGCAGCAAGGCCTGGTCCTTGATGCCACTGCCCACAGCAGGCAGGACGGACCCTCGGTTGTGTCCTTCCCTGTCACTGGACACCTCTCCCTGGGCCTGCCCCACCCAAGGTCCCGGAGGACCCTTTCTTTTTTTTTTTTTTTTTGAGACGGAGTCTTGCTCTGCCGCCCAGGCTGGAGTGCAGTGGCCGGATCTCAGCTCACTGCAAGTTCCGCCTCCCGGGTTCCTGCCATTCTCCTGTCTCAGCCTCCCGAGTAGCTGGGACTACAGGCGCCGCCACCTCGCCCGGCTGGTGTTTTGTATTTTTTAGTAGAGACGGGGTTTCACTGTGTTAGCCAGGATGGTCTCGATCTCCTGACCTCGTGATCCGCCCGTCTCGGCCTCCCACAGTGCTGGGATTACAGGCTTGAGCCACCGCGCCCGGCCCCCGGAGGACCCTTTCTAACCAGGGACGCCCCTGCTGGGACAGGCCCTTGGCGCTGGCCTCCCCAGGGAGACCCATGCTGCCAGGCAGGAGCCTCCATCCTGAAAGCCAGTCCCAGGGTCACGGCAGTACCCCAGTCCCAGCGAGGGAAGATGGGGGCGGGGCTCTATTATCTGTGGGGTTGGGAGGGAGAGGGCGGCCTCGGTGGACAGTCCACCCCAGTGTCGGACTTTGTTCAGCCCTGATGCCGGTGGAGGGGGTGGGGGCAGATGCAGGTCCCGAAAGGCTCCAGCAGAGGGCTTCGGGCACAGGGGCTGCCCAAAATATCCCGAAAACCTCCCCCCGCACCCCCCCACCGTACCTGCTCTGGCCTCCCCTCGGGAGGCAGAGGCCTCCACTAACGAGATCTGCAAAACAAAGGCCTGACCCGCCCAGGCCCTGGGACCCGCCTCTGGGCAGATGGGGCAGGTCACAGGGAGGTTCCCAGGTCCTCTGCCCTGAGCCTGCGCCCCTGAGAGGCCCCTGAGGGCAGAGGGCGCTTCCTCATAGACCTGCTGGCTGGCGGTGGTGTCACTGTGTTGCCCGGTGACAGATACAGGGTGTTTGCTCTGGAATCTGCCAACGACTCCCATCCAGATCCTGGCCGAGGGCTGGGCCCTGTTAGACCAGGTCCCCACAGCCTCTCCAGGCACCTGGCACACGGGGAAGGAGTGAGTGACTTGGGTAAGGACCCCTCGAGAATGCTGGAATCAGGCAGCCTCCTAAGACTGTGGGTGGGGACAGAGTCATCGCCCGTTGAGCTTGGCACACCGAGGAGGCACAGCCCTGGAATCTTCCAAGGACTTGCCCTGGGGCCTCCGGGGCAGGTGGGGTGTGGAGGTGACCCTTGGAGTGGGCGGGGCAGGCTCTGAGAAAGGCTGTTGGGTGGCCAAAGGCCAGGCTTTCCACCTCGCCGGTTTCTGTAGCTCCCAAATTTTTCTTAAAGTCCTCATATACTTTCATAATCATAAACACCTATTATTTTTTAAATAAAAAAATAAAACGGGTTATAAAAGTCACACTGGCTTTTTAGAAAACTGGAGCAACACAGAAAGGTGGTGTAGGGAGAGGTGAAGCCTCTTCCCAAAACCCCAGCTGAGCAGCGAGAGCCCCGGCGGTGAAGCAGATAGCCTTCCCTCTCCCGGAGCCTGGGACCGCAGGTGGAGGTGCTGGGTGACCGCCGGGCATGGGGTAGGGAGCTGACCGGCAGAGGGCGGTGTGGGCGCAGGGTCTGGCTGAGGGTGGCCTCTGACCCCCGGGCCAAGGTGGCTCTGTGCGGCTGCCAGGCCTACCCTGTGATTTTCCTTAGAAGAGCCCTTTGATGATACCATCGAGTGATGTTGAGACCTTTTAGAAGAGAGGCAGTTTATGCTGTGTGATTCGTCAGACGTCTGGGAGGGGTTGGCTGGGGCCCATGGGGTCCCCGTCACCGCGCCCCCAGCATGGAGGCCTCCCTCATCAGCTTCATAAACTGCATTTGTGCCGGCTCAATGCGTGGGACTGCCCAGAAAGGTGCCCGGCAGGAGCGGGCATCTCACAGAGCCCATGGGGCCCGGGTGGGTCTTCCTGCCAGATGTGAGGCTGCCCTGTGGGGTCCTCCGACGACCATCACAGGAAGGGCCAGGCGTTTGCTGACGGGTTCTGGACACAGCAGCCGTGGGAGGGACTAGCCAGATGTTTCCTTTCTGTGTCAGGGATCATGGGATTTGGAAAAACTGGCTCAAGTGACAATGTCAGCTGCATGGGTTCATTCTATGGATGTTGGTTGAGGGCCTACTGGATGGAGGACCAGGAGTTGAGCCAGGAATACAGCAGTGAGCCGGCCAGGCAGGGTCTCCTCGTGGGACGCTGCTGGAGACAGGCCACTGTCAGAGAACCACAGGAGTGCAGAATGGCCGAGCAGGGCTGACCAGGTCCCCGTGGGAGAGGCTGGCCCCGGGACTGACGATGTGTGCGGTGGGGCAGCCCTGTGGCCCCAGGGAGCAAGGGCTCTGTGAGTGAAGGGCGCAGGGAGTGTGAAGAGGCCAGGCTGCCCCAGCCAGGAGGGTCAGGGGAAGAGAGGGTCAGGGAAGCCTCAGACA